TAAGCGCCTTTAAAGCGTGACTCAATTGAACTACATACATACATATATTTACAAAAGCATCTATGTATATGCATATATGTGTATAATATGTATGTGAGTAAAAAAAAAAACAAATATCACAAGAAAATGATTGCCACTTGTCGTGTGGGTTTGACAACGTGCGCTAATTGTTAAAAAGGAAAATGTGACGTTGCAATAACTGAAACTGTCGTACTTACATACGTACATTAGAGTGGTCCAAAATAATAAAGTCGGAATTTTAACGCCGCCACCCCCTAAGATTGTTCTGAACCGAAAATAAATATACCCCTCTTTTTTTATTTTGAAATCAAAAAATATTTAGGGATTGCTCACAGCGCTCAAAGTTTTCCATGTATTTTGTATGGGGAAAAAAACAAATTTGCGTTGCAATAATTGAAACTGTCGTACTTCCATACGTACATACTTAAGTACATATCAATGTGCACATACTATGTGTTTTTCACAAACGATCAGTAAATGGTTCCGATTTAGAAAAATAATTTAATTGTATATTTCAATATTTTAAATATTTTTGTATGACTCATCATTTAAAATTTTTATATGATTTCTCAGCCGAAACTGGAGTTGCTTTGTATTCAGACTGTGTTCAGTTTTAAAATTCTCTAGTAAAAGAGACACCTATTCAGGCGGCAGAGAAAGGAAACTCTCAGACAATTAGTCATTAATTTTATACATATTAAAAAGGAAGAGACTTCTTCAAACAATGGGTGTACTACACTATTAGAATTACATCCCATAATACAGATATTCACAAAAAAATTTTGTCTGTAAAACCTAATAGATTAAAGAAGAAATTTAAGCTGGAACAATCTACGTACATATGTATGTATGTACACACTGGCAATCATAAGTAAGGTGATGGTCTTTTTGTTTAATATCTGGAATGTTTCTCATGATACATTTTTTTGTTATTTTTTATAAAAATATGGTTGATGGTCATCACTCATAACCACGCAAGTCAAACTTTCAAACTTTATGCAGAACTTAGGAAAATTCAAAAAATTTTTAGAAAAATGTTGAGTAAACGGCTAAAAAATCGCGTTGATTTTTAATGACTTTTGTTCCGACGGAATTTTTAGTTTTTCCATATAACAAGTGCAATTCTTAAAATATAATGTTTTTTTTTTAATTTTGATGGCAAATGGTCTTGCGTATTTTATTCTACAACACTTTTGTCCCCTATATTTGAAAACTTGCAGGTTCTGTATAAAGTTTGAAAGTTTAACTTATGTGGTTTTGATTAAAGTATGAACCATATTTTTATAAAAAAATAACCAAAAAATTTTTGCTTGAGAAACATTGCAAATATTAAACAAAAAACACCATGCACTCACTTTTGATTGCCAGTGTATCACAGTCGAAGCTTTTGAGTATGTCAAAGCTTTTTATATAATTTTTATAAAAACTTTAAAATCTCCGTCATCTGATCGAGTTTTATTTCCGAGGTATAAATTTTCCTTGCGAAGGAGCCGATTTATAATATACCCACAGTAAGAAATTCTCTACATTCTTTAAAGGCGAATAGCATTAATGTGCCTTGGGAAAAAGGAGGATGACGGTAAGAATACTCTCTGAAATATCGAACGCGCTGATAGCAAGGCTTAATTGCATACCAGCAGTTTGATAAAAATATCAAGCTTTGTGTTGGTTGAGGTGGTACTCGCACGTAACTCAATCCACTTGTAGTTGCGACAGGGTCATCGATTCTGGGGGGTCAACCGTCACAAAAGTTTCTCGCTTGGCTTAGTGCTTAGTAATTGATTTCCTTCTTATAAGACTTAACGACTCTGATGTCTATACCCAAGCACATGCAGATGATGTGGCCTACCTGCATTTTCGAACTGGCTGCCAAGATAGGTCGATCTTCCACTCAGGTGTCGATATATAGAGAAAATAGTTTCTTTTATATTTAGTCAAATAAATCCCAGTAAAGGTGCTATTTCGACGGGGTCGGAAGAGAGGGAGAAGAGTGTTAGTTGAGCTCTGTTGAGTGGGCATTTGAAGAAGTGGTTGGTATCGTGGTAGGAAATCTCCATATGCTTCACACTCATTCGGTATGTTTCGGGTACAGTGGTTGTTGTACGAGCTCCAGTCTTTCAAGTTCATAGAGATGCCTTCTGACGAGCCCAGGGTTAGTTTCCGTCTCGACCAAATGTCTGTTCGGGTACTCAGATCTGTATCACCTTACCAGGAACTGCTTACAGCGCTCCTACACGATATTTATTTGCATATATAAAGGCTACTTTTCTGATATTTGCTAACTTCGTCCACCGGATAATTCCATACACCGATTTTAACTCGCCGCTCATCTCAAATTGACAAGCTAACTCGTGTGTGTTTTTTCCTCACTATCATTTCTGAACTTAATCGCGAAAAGTTTGAGAAAATGGTTACCAAGCCGAGAAAAATAATTAAAAATATTTCGAAGGAATACTTTTATTATCCATCGCATATTTTTAGTAAATAAGTCTTCTTATAGAGTTATAAAATATAATTAGATCGAATTCCGAGTTAATTTTCTTTTTGCAAATTGCTCTAATAAAACATTGACAAATTTGTTGTGTAGCAACAGTCGCTTCCTGTGATTAGTGAGCAGACTTATTTCGGAGATAATTTTTTAGTCAATTTGGCATCAGAGCTCCACTGAAAATACCATCTCAAAGCATATACACCGTGCAAATACAGATGTGCATGTCAATATATATTATGTCCCATGTCGCTCATCAGTTATCTCGCTGCTGCTGCTTCTGCTACAATTCAGAGTACGTCACGCGATTATTATTTAAAGTGGTAAAACAATTATTTTCACATTAATAACGAAGACTACTAAACGCAGCGACGAGGCGACGAGACAAAGCGAAAACCGAGACATCGACTTGACATGCAAACAAAGTGTCTCGAAATGTACTGGTATGACTGAATGTAGCTTAGGAAACGAATGCTTTTCTGCATGTCTGCACTCTTTAAATCACAATTTTGTATTACCGCATCTGTGCTAAGTTTCTTACAAACATACAAGTTGCTATTAAAAGTAAAGCGAAGCCAGCGCAAGTGATTTCATTGCTACTTTTTAGTCATTACTTATTCTACTTTTTTTTTTTTTTTGTTTTTTCCTACGTATGTATGCACTTACTTCACGCTTTAGTAACGACCGACAGCGGAAGCTCCAGCTGGCTGAACGTCGCCGCTGGTGGCCAGCGAAAGACGGCGCAAAAAACGGCAGATATATTTCATCAAAAGAAATGCATTGCCGGTTGACAGCTGCAGACATGATAAGGACAAATCGTCTGCCTTCATAAATACATACATGCATACATACATACACGTAAATATATATGTATATGTATGTAAATGTGTGCAGTCAACTGGCTTACGCTGACACAAAGTGAACGTTGACATGCCTTTGTCACGAATAGTTAACTCAATAAAAATGGCAAAAACATCAGCAGCATGAAAACATCAAAAGCAAAAACAAAAACAAAATTATGCGTATCATAATTTGAGATTTATTGTGTAAAACTAAAAATAAATAAAAAAAATTTACACATATTTAAAAAAAGTAGTTCAACTGCTTGGCCGGAGTTAGCTTGGCTTGGCTTGCATGTATTTGCCACAGCTCAAGGTCACATGCGCTTTGTGTGTACCGATGGTTTATTGCCTCATCAAAAGCTTTCCAAGAGCTTTGTATGACTCTCGCCAAGTACTGCCTTCGGTTTATGTAAATGAGGCGTATTTTGTTAGTTTTATACATTTTTTTCTTTTTTATTTTTCTTCAAATCTGTGCTATGCAAATCAAACGTCGCACACAATATATCATTTGTGCTCAATAGCCCGTAAAGCAACTCGATAAGTGTGCATATAACATAAAGTTGTCTTCGAATGGTATACGAATCTAATTTTTAGCAGCTGTTGAGTGCTTAGAAGATACAAATTAATTTTTTTTATATAATTTTGCAACATTTAGCATATTTTTCGTTTAATTTACTTGTGCTCAGCAATGCGTGCCTCGCGCGGTTGGCAAATTTTGTATGAAACGAAAGACTTAAGCAACGAACTTCAACCCAATTTTATTATTACTATTTTTTGGAAAAGTCACCTTTTAAAATCAATACAAATACATACATATCTATACATTTAATAAAATTGTAACATGCTGATGTCTGTACATTATAAATATTAAAGAAAAATTAATATGGGGGTCTTTATTAGAGCAATAGAAGCCAAATCTAAATTTTTTTAGAATATTTGTCTGGCTGTCTGTATGTTTGTTCGAACATCACTCAAACTCTAATCCATGAAATTGAATGCAGTTTTCACTGGTCTATTGCTAGAGGTCTAACTTAAAATATAGAAAAAATTATAATTAGAGAGTTGCCACCTGATGGAAAATTGCAGTTTAAGTAAATTGTTAAGATAAAGTAAATATTGCAGCATGGAAGTCAAAAGAAAGAGGTTTAAGAAGGCTTACAGCCGAAAATATTTTCTTGGAAGGTTGCCACCTGCTTGAAAATTTTAATTTAATTTCATTGATGAAACGAAACGGAATTAACCACACAAAAATACGTCTAAGGCGCACTGAAGCACGCTGGATATTTGCTAGTACATGTGTAAAATTATATGGCAACCTTCAATCTTGATTATATGAGCTTTAGATATACATCTTATAAAGGAATTATTGGCGGTTTATTTTCGATTGTTGATTGAAAAATTACACTGAAGATGGCACAACGCCGAAAGCGGTTTGTCTCCAAACCAAAATTGATAGGGCATGACGGAAACTCATTCCGAAATAAGTCGCTTTGATGCTTTAAATGTATCACTTCGGCATGAGTTTATATATTTATTGCAAAACATCTAAATATTTGATTTGATCTAAAAGTTTGATTCAAGATAAGAAAAAAAGTTCCAGATTCAATTTTTTATTCTATGAAAATTTCATTTAGAATTCCCTTAATTCATATAATTTTTTCTTTTTCTTCCAGGACTTATACTACATTACCTTCGGTTACCCCGAGAAGGAATTGAACACAGATATAGCTTTAATAACTGGTGGAGGCAATGGACTTGGCCGATTGCTCGCTCAACGTTTGGGTAAAATGGGCACCAAAGTTATCGTTTGGGATATTAACAAAGAAGGTAAGTATGCGAGACACAAAAAATACAAGGAATGTAGTTAAGAAGCTCACAGAAAAAGCAGGTGCAATATTTTGTAGTAATTTATTGAAAGCAATCAGAGCGAAAATTGCCTTCCTCATCTGATAATCAATATTTCAGATACAGGTTTTTTCGCTTTCTGACAAATGGTGAAATTCGAGTTAATATACTTTGGAAGAAAAGCTCATAAAATCCTCTAAATTTATATAATTTTGGCTTTTTTGTTGCTATTCCAGGCATACAAGAAACCATCGAAATCGTCGAAACTGATGGCGGCTACTGTAAAGGATATGTTGTCGATATTTCAAAGAAGGAGGAAGTTTACAAGGCAGCTGAAGTATTGCGGAATGAAGTTGGCGACGTAAGTAATCAGAGTTTAAGTAACAAAGCTCTAAAAAGGTATCTTAAAACTACTAATACCTTTATTCCTGACCCTATGCCGGTCTAGCATTCGAATTTCTCTCAATATTGCCGGCATAAAAATAATGATTAAATTATAATTCTTGGAGCACTTTGATACTAAAAGTCAACTTAAATAGTACACTCCCATAGGACCTTTAATCTTCATTTTAACCCTTCAACTGCCAACTGGTTCAAAAATTACGATACGACGTGAAACTAAGAGTCTAGACAGTTTTACGTTAAATAGTTCGTTAAATTGTGTCAACAAGAAATCCACTACAATTAGTGTAAGATAAACGAGCCTGATCGAAGTTCTTGTTCAACTGAAAGGCAAATTTTCATCAGTTGAGCTAGAGGGCAGTCCATTCTCTCGAAGCATCAAAGCCATCGATTAAGCACACCGGTTCTAATAACAAAGCCTGTTAACTCTGCACGGGACGCAGTGGACCCTTTCTTTCATACCTTTGAAAAAAAGAGAATCTGCACTCAATAGGTTTTTAGTAACTGATTATGAATTTTTTAAGCACCACAGGGTTAACGTTTTTTCTTATGTTCAGAGATTTTATCTCAGACCTGCCTTTGTAGCAAATACAGGGAGAACGAAATTCTCAATAAATTTCTGGGACTGCAAGATTTAGAAAAATTCTCATGATGCCCTAAAATATGATACAGTTTCCAAAGGGGGAAAATCGTGGTACCAAAACGCCCAAAGTTAGGGGGATATGAAGCTTTATAAACATTATAAAATAGTACCAAATCAGTAGTGCCTTCTCTCGATTTTAGTGGTTTAATTCCTAGAGAGAATAGTCCATATCGACCTAATAAAGGACATTCGATTACTCTCTGATGGTGAACATACGTACGAATGTACGAAGAAAGTCTATTTGCTTAGGAAAATAACGCATTGGTATGCATTTTGCCATTTACAGGCAATATTTTGTTAACTGCTTATGGAGTGGGAACAAAATTTACCAGTGCGCAGAATGCGATAAGGGTTTAAAAATTACCAGGAACTTTTTTTTACCGGTAACCAAATTTTGGTTACCAACGCAAAATAGGCCTGATAGAAGCTACTTTTGAAAGAATTCGTCTTTTTGACCCCCAGCCATTCTCTCAGAACAAAATTGAATGCGAATTTCGATGAAGCTTCAAGACGCATAACAAATCAACCGCTCGCATTCTAAATTAGTTCACTAACTCGCTGCTCTTAACTTCCTCTGTTTAAGCTCAGCAGTAATTGAAACACTTTTAAGCTAAATAATGCTTGAATTTTAGTACATAACCATTTGCATTAAAAACTCAGTCGACCTTGAAAGTTTGTATGAAGTGTCGGTTAAGGGCACAGAAGTGCTACAGAAGCGCACACACAACACAACAAAGCCGCTCACTCGTACTTCAACTTGACTTGTGACCCTATTTCATTTATGTAAATATATATTTGTATGTATGTACATATAGAGTTACTTTATTGCATGCAACGTGAACTTGCTTATCTTATCCGTTATTCTTTTTTCGTTTCATTTTTCCACGTCAGCGCTTAGCCTACCACTTCTTTTCATTGCAAACGGCGGCAGCTGTTGCCGTTATTGTTTGTTGACATGATTACGAGATTTAATATATTTAAATGCCAGCGCCCATCAAATTTAATTAGTGCTTAAAGACTAGTTATATTTACTTATGCAATTCAATGCGCTTCAATGAAGAAAGAATTCAAGCACTCAATGCTTTAAATTAAAGAAAAAAAAAACTGATTGAACGCGAAAAACCTCTTTTAGACAGGACAACAGCAACAGCAACAGCAGCAGTCGTCTTCTTTTATGTTGGTAATTTTTAGCATAAAAGAGTTAAAATATACCAGAAGTGTGTTTGTTTTAAATAGAATGACTACGGGCATTTTTTTTTATATATTAAGATTAAAAATTAAACTGTTAAAAATCTAATTTACTTAGCCTTCATAGTTGACAAGTTATTGCAAAATATTTTCAAGTTTATGTGACGTCTTAAAGAAAAAATGGCTTAAGGCTTCCATTAGCACAGCTGGCAATTGGCAGCACCAACGAATCAAACCCACTTGCTAAGCGTTTTTTTTTTCTCTTTTAGAAAATATTAAATAAATTTCCGCTGCACTAACAATTACACAACTTCACAAAAGCCAAACTAAATAAGAAAACAAAAAAATGTAAAGTTGCCAGAAAACTTAGAAACCGCTCGCCTTGACATCAATATCAATTGCTGACCTGCACGCATGCGCTATGAACTCACACGCCTAGAACAGCTGGAGTCAAATGGCCGAAATTAGTTTTGCGCAACAATTCTTGGCTTTAACGCTTTGGCAAATAAATTGTATTAGTAAATGGCGGCAGAACTTGTTGCAAGTCGATAAATATCAGTTGCGCAATAACTTGTCTGGGTAGAGATACATACATATGTATGTGTATAATAACTAATATACAGGCAAATGTAAATATTCAAAGTGCGTTAAGATTAGCTAAAAAAATAATTGAATTGTGGTAACCCACCACAGCCTTTCGAATTGTCAATTCTAGCAAC